TTTATTTTTTGTATTCTTAGTGGAGACGGGGTTTCACTATCTTGAACAGGCTGGTCTTAAACTCCTGATCTCATGATCCACCCACCTCGGCCTCCCAAAGTGCTGGGATTACAGGTGTGAGCCACTGCACCTGGACTATAATCTTTAATTTAATTAATTTATTTACTTATTTTGAGACAGGATCTCACTCTATCATCCAGGCTGGAGTGCAGTGGCACCATCATAGCTCACTGTGGCCTCAACTCCTGGGCTCAAGTGATCCTCCTACCTCAGCCTCCCAAGTAGCTGAAACTACAGGCACGATGGGGTCTTGCTATGTTGCCCAGTGTGCCTCAAACTCCTGGCCTCAAGCAGTCCTCCTGCCTTGACTTCCCAAAGTGTTGGGATGACAGATGTGAGCCACCAGAGTCGGCCTAACATGTTCTTAAAGGAATAAATGTAAAGGATGCGTGAATTCTCAGAGGGCATCGATCTACTGCCATTGTAGCGTAGTTTTGTTTTTAGCTACTTTTTCGTTTTCAGTATTATCTCTGGTATTTTGCAGAGGGCCTGGAAGTTAGTGGCCTGGTACATGGTATTATTTGTTTCCCTTCCATCTCTGACTTCCGTTCTAAAGTTACTTGCTTTGCCGAGTGTGGTGGCACGAACTTGTAATCCTAGCTACTCAGGAGGCTGGGGAGGGAGGATTACTTGAGGCCAGGAGTTTGAGACCAGTCTGGGCAACACAGTGAGACCCTCATCTCTAAAAATAATAATAATAATAATAGAATAAATGTTATTGGCTTTGGAGGGTGTTTTTTTAGCACTGATCCAAGCCCTGCCCCCTAATCAATGAGTTTGGGGAATGAGGGTTATAGAGTAGAAATCAGATTTGAAAGTCTCTTACTCCAGTATAATGTGCAAACAGAAAAATGCACATATCATAAGTGCACAGCTTTCTGCAGTTTTGCAAGCTGAACACCACCACGGTGTAACCAGCATCCAGATCCAGGAGCTGAACTTTTCCATCATCCCCAAGCACCTCTTGTGCTCTCGGCTAGTCACTATTTCTGCGAGGGAGGCATGGTGGCGGGCACCTGTAGTCCCAGCTACTTGGGAGGCTGAGGCAGGAGAATGGCGTGAACCCGGGAGGTGGAGCCTGGAGTGAGCCAAGATTGCGGCGCCCACTGCACTCCAGCACTGGCGACAGAGCGAGAACTCCATCTCAGAAAAAACATTCTTTTTTTTTTTTTTTGAGATGCAGTGTCTCTCTCTGCGCCCACGCTGGAGGTGCAGTGGCACGATCTCGGCTCACTGCAACCTCCTGTTCCTCCCAGGTTCCAGCACTTCTCCTTCTTCAGCCTCCCATGTACTGGGACCACAGGTGCGTGGCCCACCATAGCTGGCTATATTTTGGTATTTTTAGTAAGAGACGGGATTTTTTCTATGTTGGTCAGGCTGGTCTCGAAACTCCTGACCTCAGTTAATCCGCCTGGCTCGCGTCCTCCAAAGTGCTGGGATTACAGGCATGAGTCACCGCACCAACCAGGTGACCACTATTCCGACTGAAATAATGTAGGTTCATTTGCCTGAAATAGCCAGATTGTAAGTGATTATATTAGAGGATGTTTAATTAACAGCCCAACAGTCAACAAAATCATTGGCCATTGTCCCAGCCATGTAAATGACACGGTGGTTGTCAGGACACAGACAGGAGGGCACACACAGAGCTGTCCACATTTATGCAGGGATGTGTTCCTGAATATCTCACATCTTGAAAATTCTCAAAATTCAAGCCTTGTTTTCTCA